CCGAGGTTGGATAAGTACGATGTGAAGCTGTATTCCTCGACCCTGCTGCATGCAACGAGACAACAAAACTTCGTTTCGCGGACCTGGTGATTATGGGCTTGAGCAGAGCGATGCATGCATGCATGTGCATGGCTCAAAGTCACCAGCAGCAGTCACGAGTCGCGCCCCATTCAAGCGCTCCAATCACAACAATCAATTGTATTCTTGATTCTCAGAGATGTTCTAATCAGATTCAGTCACGAGTCATGCACGAGCCACAGTCTCGAGTACCGTGTGGTGCGTGAAAAGCGGGCGAGTCAAGAGTGTGAGTGTGGAGGTGGTTGTGCCTATATGCATCCGTATGCCGCACACTCTAGACTCGTGAGTGAGCTCAAAACCACCATACCGAACGACTCGCGACCTTTGTCCCTGTAGCGCACCATCATCGTCTCGCTTTTGGCCCAGAATCGAGCCTGCATTGCATAGAAGAAGGTCCTGAACCTGCTAGGGCTTGCTTTCAGTTTGAAGGACCGCAGGGGTGGATCGATTCGCATCTAGTCAAGGAGACCAAGAAGCGCTTTGCCAATATGTCGACGAGGACTGGAATTGCCTCTTCGATCATTGCCTCTTTGCTGCGCTTCTCGACCTGCGAGGTGAGTTGTCGGCCTGATCAGCCCCTGCAAAAGTGCCATAGGGAATCGTGTTGCGAAGCGTCGTCATTTGCTGGTCCTTTGATCCGATCCAATCACCTGGATATCACGAACACGAACATGGACGCTGACGCTGACGCTTCTTTTGATGCGGGTGCGCTCTGCTGGATTGGACGGGTGGGCTGCGTCAAGGTGTCGGACGCGCTGATCAAGTTGAAACATCCTACCGGCGGACTTTTGCCTGGCTTGGACATGTTCTCTCCATCCCACTTGTCGGGTGAGACGCGCATTTGTGGACCTGCTTTTACCGTTCAGGTCAGTCCAGCTTTCTTGCAGTCAGTCAAGTTCTCTGCTTGACCTCTATGTGAAGCTGTGTTCTACACGGGACATTTTGGGCTGACCTTTTGTGGGTTCTACGTCACTCTGCATCAAGATGGTGGAGGGCTCTGACAAAGATGCACCAAAGCCTGAACAGCATTTCGTGAGTCGCTCGCTGGTCGCATCATCCTCACTTACAATACGCTACACATGCATGCTCTCTCAAGGCTGACCAGCGTGTCGATGCGTGCGCCTCCACTCGGAACAGGTAGATGCGGCGGAAAGGGATAGCGTAATGGTCATTAGTGCGCCTTCTGAAGTTCGATCGGCGGTATGGGGAGGGCTCATGACTGCTAGAGCTCAAGCTAGGGGAGTCAAGGGAATCGTGATTGATGGAAGGTGTAGAGATCTCAGCGAGCATAGAGAAGCGGGATTTGCTGTGAGTTGAACACGACTTGCGCTTGCAGGGGGAGGAAGCGAGTGTAGCGCTGTGGGCCCTTCGAGGGTCAGAGCAGGCGGCCTCTGTATAGACGGTCGCTCCACTGTTTTTGCTCTGGGAACCGACCATTGCTCAATGCTCTACACTCTGCCTTTTGGCTTGTCACCTCACAGGTGTTTGCACGCGGACATTCCACGCTTGGTCAATCGCCCTTCACTCGTCCCTCGCTGCTCCAATCTCCGATCACGATCACAGATCCCACATTGCCCAGCACCTCTCCATTCCATCAACTAGTCGTCCACCCGGACGATTTAGTGCTTGCGGATCTGGACGGGGTGGTCGTCGTGCCCCCTACGTTGGTGGAGCAGGTATTGGAATTGGCGCAGAAGGGAAGAGAAGTGGATGAAAAGTGCATGAAGGATCTCAAGGAGGGCAAAGGCGTCAAGGAGACTTTTGCAAAGTGGAGAGGAAAGTAATGAGGGGAAAGAGGAGAGTAAGGATCGCGCGCAGGGCGAGGACGAGGGGGGAGGGCAAGAGCTGATCAGTATTGGGGTGCAAGGTGTAGAAAGGTGCCCGAGGACGCATGCCGAGGGGGACTGTGCGACTCTCAGATTGATTTTGGTGAGGTTGTCAAGACGACGGATGGCCGCTTTGATCCATCTGGCTCAATAGACTTTGACGGGAATGCAATACTTTACACCGTCCACGTACGTCGCATCAACACTCGTAGTTCATGCTTTTGATCCCCATCCCCTCACCCCACATCCCCACCACGGTTCATGGACGTTGCGCTAATTGACCAGGCTCTGAAAGCTCGGACGAGATTTGCCGCTGTCTTTTTGAATATGACCCACGACTTGATGCTCATTAGAAAGAGTCAGAATGTGAATAGACAGTGTGAGCTACCGCCCACTCACATTTGGATTGATCGATGTTGCCGCTCATGAATGGTGAATGTATGAGCATTCAGGCCTTGCGCGTGCCAAGGTGAGCGCCGGGAGGGATCGGGCGGGAGGTGCGTGCGACTCTGTTAATTGGCCCCCTC